GTGTAACTTTGGGGTTAAATAATGAGGCACAACCAGATGTCCAGGCACCTCACGCTCCCCAATACAGCAAAATGCAATTTAAGGAAAACGTTCAGCAGGTAAACTCTGGTACAACTGATCTCCAAAAGCTTGTGCTTTTACCAGACGTGCTGTTCTCTCAATTGCTCATGTCATCAAGGCAGCATATTTATGAATAAAACATGACCAGAAAAATATTTCAGACATGTATTTATGTAGCACATCACCACACTGCAGTGGTTCAAAGTATTTCAAATACAGCAAAGGATTTGAAAGTGCAGTGGTTTATATAGGAAGTGCGATAGCTATTTTTCACATAGCAGGATCCCGGAGTTACTCATAGGATACACGAGTCATTTGCAGTATTGGTGTAAGGAAAAAATATTACCTGGCACAGTGCAAGAACACTGGCCCTCTTCAGATAGTCGTACAGTTAGAGTCGTACAGCACAGAAACAGATCCTTCAGCCCAACTCATCCATATCAACCGATTTTCCTAAATTAATCTAGTCCCATTTGCCAGCATTTGGCCCATATCCCTCTAAACACTTCCTATTCATTTAGCCATCCAGATGCTTTTAAAATGTTGTAATTCTACCAACCTCCACCCCTTCTTGTGGCAGCTCATTCCATACACACACCACCCTCTGCATGAGAAAGTTGTCCTTTAGTTCCCTTTCATATCTTTCTCCTCTCACCTTAAAATGTGTGCCCTCTAGTTTTGGACTCTGCTACCCTGAGAGAAAGACCTTGACTATTCATCCTATCCATGCCCCTCAGACATTTACTAATGTCTATCAAGGTCACCCCTCAGCCTCTGATGCTCCGGGGAAAATAACCCCTGCCTATGCAGCCTCTCCCTATAGCTCAAATCCTCCAACCCTGGCAACATCCTTTTTTGTTTATCTTTTCTGAACCCTTTCAAGTTTAATAATATCATTCCTGTAGCAAGGAGACCAGAATTGAATGCAGTATTCCAAAAATGGCCTAACCAATGCCCTGTACAACTGCAACACGAAATCCCAACTCCTATACTCAATGCACTGACTGATACAGGTAAGCATACCAAACGTCTCAGTCACTATCCTGTCCACCTGGGACTCCATTTTCAAGGAACTATGAACCTGCACCCCAAGGTCAGTGCCCATAATCTTTAAGATCTACCCAAACCAATGGAATGAACAGTATAGACCAATGGGATTAACTCCAGTAACTTGCGTAATGAATAATGTAGTGATGATGTCATGATTAAGCAGAGAAAGGAAGAAAGGGACAGAAGCTGTAATCAAATATGAAGAGATAGAATAAATTAATATTGCTTCTTGGGTCAAATGCTCATACCTTGTAGGATAGGATTTCTACGTTACCCTTATAATGTCTATTATGAATATGGAGTTCTGGTTGAGACAGATGTCTTAAAAGTTTATTAAGACTATTTACAGCATTATAAAAACTCTGATTTACAAATAACCTGGGTTCTCCACTTACTAATGTTATTGCTGTTACATGACTAGCATTACAGACTGCTGACTGTAATTATTACACAGCACATTGATTCCATGACAATGTGATGGAAGGTTAGGCTAGGGCCTTTGTACTGGAATGTCACACTTCATATCATTTAACTGCCTTGAAGTTATGCTGCCTTCCTTGAATCTATTCAACAATATCAAACTTAGATCAAGTTGTAAATAGAGAGTATTCTTGCAGAAAATTACAAGGACTCCAGGTATATGATTTGGGGCAACACCAAACAGGCAGATAGTGGCAAAACTAGAATACCGAAGTATAAAATTCAGTCATAGTTGACATTAAACAACCATCTTACATAACCCCACACAAAACCAGATGAATAATGTAGATATGCACTAAAATGAGGTATTTCTATGGTATGGGATAAACTACCTGGTGCAAAGGATCTTTTCCCATCGGCTACTGTTCAAATGTTTAAGAATTTAAAGTCTGATGCTCATCGATAGACAACAGTATTCATTCATGGAGTCAGACATTTTAAAAAAAAAACATGGAAAGAGCCCATGCTGGTCAAACAGCCATTTATACTGATCTAATTTTCCAGAACATGGCCTGTAGTCTCATATACTACATTTCAAATGTTCATCTGAATAGTTCTTACTTTATTGAGATTCCCATTTATGGTTGCAACCTTTCTCTCTCAAATCCCCTCCAACCCTCTGGCTCCTTACCTTAAATCGATGCGGTCATTGCCCGTTCAACCAAAGGGTAAAGGTTTCTCTCCAAATCTGCTTTCTATCCCCCTCAAAACTTTTTACACCTCCAGCAGGTCCCCTCAGCCTTCTCTGCTCCTAGTACAGCAACCCATCCCATTTCGTCTCTCTTCATAGCTAAACTGCTCCGGCCCAGTCAAAATCCTGGTGAATTTTTTCTGCACCCTCTCCCATACTGCAGTGCTTGGAATTATTGGTGTCAAGGATTGTGCACATTTCAAACAAATTCTTTTATACATCCAACAGACCAAAGAAAAATCGAATTAAGAGGGCATCAAAGCTCTTGGTTTTCAATAGCAGTTTATTAAATAACTTCCCCCAAAAAACAGATCTTACCATTCTAATCCTAACAGGACTGCCGCAAAACAGCAGACTTTTTGAACTGCATTTGGAAGTCAAACATCATGTTAAATGATAATGATGTAATAATATCAGTTACTTGTTAGGGATTGGTCAACAGCATACATTGATTTATTTACAAAAGTAAAACACATAATAAGTGAAGAAGTAGACATTACAGCAAGCCAGATTTATCTATTTGTGCAGTTGGAATAGCGGATGGTTAGGGAGAGTCTCAACTTTATGTACATAATATAAACACTTAGGGCACATGAAGACCTTAAAAGGTAAATTCTCTTACAGTCAAGGTATGCATACAACAGTGACTACTTCTGTCAAATTCGAGTACCCTGCAACAAAGATTTTACAAGTATATAAGTCAGCACTTGTCTCGCTTGCCAAGTGCAAGAGTTAGCGTGGATTTGTGCAATAAATGGGCCCTTTCTATGTATTCAGATTGTAATGGAAAAAGAAAGGACATGGTGGTATGACATCATTATCAGGACACTGGCATGCTGATTTCCTACATAGCTGATCTACGTCTGAATGGAATTAAGTGAAACCCTGGTCTTGTTTTGCACCAAGTTAAAAGTGCCCTTAAAAAAAAATCCAAGACTTCTGTCACAAGTTGAAGCTTCTAACTTGGATAGTTTGCTAAATTCTGGTTTCTGCCTGCACAGAACTGCATTGATTTGTATTGACAGGTCAACCCATCATAATGATGTTGGCGCCATGAATTACAGACTCCCTGGAGAACAGCACTCAGCTGGGTTACACGCTCCAGTACCACAACCTGTAGGCCCAAAGAACCAGTGATTGGATATTGATCCAGGCTATTAATGGAATCATAAAAGATTTGCAGCACTGTTACACAGGCTCCAAGAATATTTAACAACTCCAAACCTGAAAGATGTTAAATCAGTAAAACCATCGAGGGAGCCCATCATGTTGTGATCTGAGTTGATCTCCTAAATGTTGCAGCTAGCGTGGTCATTGGGAAGGCAATAGTTAGAATTACAGTGCATTTGATGAGGATTTTTTTTTTGGAAAACAGGGTCTTATTTAAAGAGGACAAAATACTAATTTAAAGTAATAGTTTAGTTTTGGGTCCATTGTGGACAGCCCTCCATTCTGATCCCCATAATCAGGGGTGAAGTGTTGACCACAGACAGCTCACCTGATGAGAAGGGCCAAATTTTTCAGGCTGTGATTTGAAGGGATCTCTCCTGCTCCATCTGTCTCAAGAAAGGCTATACTCCATTGCTACATAGGGCAGGGTGACCCAGACACTGTGTCTAAGAGTCATACAGCATGAAAACAGACCCTTCGATCCAACAAGTACAGGCTGACCATATTCCCAAACTAAACTAATCCCACCTGCCAGCACTTGGCCCTTAACCTACCCAACTTTTCCTATTCATGTATCCATCCAAATATCTTTTAAACATTGTAACTGTCCCTGCATCCAGCACCTCCTCTGGTACCTCATTCCATACACAAACCACTCTGCGTAAAAAAGCTGCCCCTCATGTCCTTTCTAAATCTTTCTCCTCTCACCTTAAAAGTATGCTCCCTAGTTTTAATCTCCTTCATCCTTTGGAAAAGACCGTTGTCATTTATCTAATCTATGCCCTACGATTTTATAAACCTCAATAAAGGTCACCCCTCAACCTCCTAGGCTTCAGGTAGAAAAAAAGTCCTAGTTGCTCCACTCTATTTTTATAACATCTTGGTAAGTCTTTTCTCATTGGTAACTTGCTTCATAGAGGAATCCATAAACAGTTATGTTACAGCTGGGGCCTATGGTGAATTAGAAGCTTGATGCTTGCATTAAGTGGCTACCTAGGATGCCTAAAATAATTAGGCCTACAAACTTAGCTAAAATCTGAGCAGAATGGGTACCAATACCATTGCTGGTGGGTGATATACTTTGCGCTTGACTTCTGCCTTTAAAAAAAAAGACACCTCACGATGGACCAATTTTCAACCCAGACTCTGATTCCCTCATTCCTCACAGGCTGATGGATCTAATTTGCCTTGTACTTCTGTTCCACCTGACAGAGGCCCTTCTGGTGTAGTGGTAGTGCGCTACCTCTAGGCCAGGTGAATAATAACAATTCTGAACATGTTGATTATAATTATCTACTGCCTTACAGATGACAAAACCCAAACAGCAATGTCCAGAGCTGTTTGTCAGTCATCTAAAGACAAGCCCAGATTCACACACATCTCAAACACTGACTTGCCATATGAATGCCTTTAAGAAATGTATGCAAGTACTGAACAATACTCTATTGAAAAAATTAGATACCAGGATTTATGATGACCAAGCAAATAAGATTCAATTTGATGACATGGAATTCTAGGTCGTTTAGGGTTTATTTGAGGCTTTTGGGATTTATATCCTATGATTACCCCTCGAGACCAGCAACCAATCGATGCTTTGAATCTGAACAAAACAAAAAATTCTATTAATGCCTCATCAATCAGTTTCTCAAGAAAAGTATTTTGAATTTTATGCCTTCTTAACAAAATGCCATGAACTTTTTTTTTTAAATGAAATGTTTCCTCATTGTTTCTAAAAAAAAAAGGAGTCTGTCCTGCCAAATGAAATTTCTGCCTGGATTTAAAACTTCTAATGTGCATGTAATTTGTGGCCAGAACATTCCATTTCAAAGCATCCAGGTCAAATATTTATCTTTGGGTGTGACTGAGGGGATGGGTGATAAAGTAAGGAGGCCTGTTGGAGTTTGGTAGCATTAAGCTCCATGTGCTTTTACAGTAAATGCTTTGAGGACAGTCCTTAGTCAACGCTAGACCCAAGTGGTAACATTTTCTGGCCAGAGGTGTGGCAAATCCATCCACAGAGAGCTCGGAGAATCCAAGAAAAATGGCCTGCAACATAGCCTCAGTCTTAACGTCCTCATGTTAGTTTTCAAATTCCAACTGGCTTTACCCACCACTTCCCACTAATCTGATGGCCCCCACCAACCCCATTTCCAAACTCCTCCAGCATCATACCCTACAAGGCATCTCTACGACCCATTCTGGAGTTTTGCACAGTCTATACTTTCATCCTCTGTAACCTTTGTTGGACATCTCTAACTGCCTGGACTCCACAGTTCCCAGCTTAAGACACTCTACCACTTCCTTCTCCATGAAAATGCACGTTAAAACTGAACAGTTTGGAACTCCTTTTGGCTACCATTCTTCCAACAGGGAAATGGTAGCAAAATGGTGATGTGTCCTTGAAAACAGTAATCCAACAGCTCAAGTTTAGGATTCAAATCTCACCGTGACAGGAATGAAATTCGAATTTGATTAACAAAACCCGCATCTAAACAGCAAATCTCAGTAATGGTTACGATGAACAACCATCGATTGCCATAAAATACATGTGGTTTGCTAAACTCCTTTAGGAAGGGAAATCTAGCAGATCTTAACTGGTCTGGCCGACATGTGACTCCAGACTTTCAGCAACATGGTCAACTCCTACCTGAACTCTGAAATGGCCCCAGTAAGCCACTCAGTTGAACAGTAATGAGGGATAGGCATGCAGATGGCACCAAAATTAGTGGTACAGTAGACTATGAAGAAGATTATCTAAGAGAACGAGGTCTTGATCAGCTGGATCAATGAGCTGGAGCAGTGGCAGATAGATTCTAACATGGGTAAATGCAAGGTATTGCATTTTGGTAAGACTAACTGTCTGGGTCCTGCCCTGGTTTATGGTAGGGGCCTGGGGAGCATTGTTGAACAGGGGTGCAGTTACACAGTTCCTTGAAAGTGGCGTCATGGGTGGACAGGGTGGTGAAAAAGGTGTTTATGCTTGGCTTCAGTGGTTAGAGCATGGAGCATAGGAATTGAGACATCATGTTGTGGCTGTACAAGACATTGGTGAGACCACTTTTAGAATCCAGAATTGTATGCTGTTTGGAGAGAGGAGCAGAACTTCAAGGTGGGCATGTCTAGAAGAGATGTGGCAGTGAGTTAAATACTAAATAAAATCCAAAAGAACTGTGGATGCTGTAAATCAGGAACAAAAACAGAAATTGCTGGAAAAGCTTAGCAGGTCTGGCAGCATTGGTGAACAAAAATCAGAGTTAACGTTTCAGGTCCGGTGACCCTTCCTCAGAAAAGAACTGTTCTGAGGAAGGGTCACCAGACCTGAAATGTTAACTCTGACTTTTTCTTCGGTCGCTGCCGAGCATCTCCAGCAACTTCTGTTTTTGTTCCTGATTTACAGCATCCACAGTTCTTTCGGTATTTATACAATTCTGGTTGTCCTGCTGTAGGCAGGATGTTGTTAAACTAGAAAAGGGTACAGAAAAAGTATACAACGATATTGCCAGGACTGGAGGGTTTGAGTGCGAGGAGGAGTGCAAGGAGAGGCTAGATTGCATGGGACCTTTTCTCCCCTGTAGTGTTGGAGACCGACAGGTTTATAAAATGATGAGAGGTATACATGGTGAATAGCCAAGGTCTTTTTCCAAGGGTAGGGGAGTCCAAAATTAGAGGTTTAAAGATGAGAAGGGAAAGATTTCAAAGGGACCCGAGGGACAGCTTTGTCATGCAGAGGGTAGTGCATGTATGGAATGAGCCACCAGAGGAAGTGGTGAGGCGGGTACAATAACATTTAAGAGGCATTTGGATAAGGACATGAATAGGAAAGGTTTAGAGGGATATGGGCCAAATGCAGGCAAATGGGACTAGTTCAGTTTAGGATATGGTCAGCATGGACAAGTTGTGCCAAAGGGTCTGTTTCTGTGTTGTATGACTCTAAATGCCGGCCTTGCCAGTGATGCTCGAATCCCACGAATAAAGAGAAATGTCTTCAAATTATGTTTGATGATATTGCTGCGAAGCCCCTTTGAGCCAGCAAAGGTCCTATCCAAATGAAATTTATTGTTTTCTTGAGGTTGGTTGGCTCACTGAGCTGGTTTGTTGTTTGGCAGACGTTTCATTACCGTGCTGGGTAACATCCTCAGTGCAGCCTCCGATGAAGCATCGGTGTGTGTTCCCACCTGGTTTTTAAACTCTGGAGTCCGTTGAGATGGATTGCTTCACTTCTGGGTTTCCTTCGTAGTGGAATGTATATGGGGTCGAGTTCAATGTGTTTATTAATAGCGTGCTTCGTGGAGTACCATGCTTCCAGGAATTCTCGTGCTTGTCTCAACAGGTTTTCAACGCAGCAAAACAAACCACGTTGCTGAAATTCAGCCAGTGGCAAGAGAAACGCTTTTAGCCAACTCTGTTCCCAGTAATGGTGCGGGCACAAAGTGAACATGTTTTTAAGCAGTGGGATCATTATAGTACAATAGGGCCAGTGTTTCTCCAGGAGGAAGAACACCAGCTCACAATCAGCTGTCTATTTTTTTCTGGATGGCAATCCGCTCGTTATGGTTCTGTTGCTGCCAATTACACCCTCTCAATACCCATTTTTTAAAAATCAAACTAATTCCACAACTACCTCATTTGGTCTTGCACCATCATCTCTCATTATGGTACCACCCCTTCCATTCTCAACACCCTGTCCACCACCAGACCCAGCTTGCTTTGCTTACTCACTTAAGACTTGTTACAGAACAGATGTGACATGTTCCAATTACTGCAAAAGGCCATCGACCAGAAATGTTCACCCTCTCTTCTCCTCAGAAGTTACCTGACTCGCTAGGCATGAGTATTGTGCTTATATTTCAGATTTCTCTCTCTTCCTGCACCTCCTCCTCCACCACCATCCACTTTATTCTGCCTTTTGCAAGTGGGTCATTGAAGGCACACTACCCAGAAACAAATGGCCACAGCAGCTAATGAGAAACGTGAAGGATGCTTGGAAACCAGGCTTACGTCAGTTCAAAAAAAAAGATACATGCATGTTAAAGCTTTTACTTTGCCTTTAGGGCAAAAGGGTCATTCTCATATTGCCAGCAACGGATGGATTCCTGCTCTTCCCCTCACACTAAGGGAAGGCCCTCACCTGAAATCCCCAAAGCCCCACCTACAAAAAGGTTAACGGTGTGCATACACTGTGCATTATAACAACAAAACACGGATCACAAAACAGACAGCCTCAACATGTGCAACATTAGTATCACGCCTATTTCCCAGTCATATTTTGAAGTATTTTCAGATGCAACATGCCAGGGTCTTGACAGAATTTGCAGCAGCAAATAGAGGTCCACAATCATAAATGCAGTGTGCTTGGTTTCAAGCCCTGATTACAATTACAAAATTGTAAAAGAATCTTGAAGGAAGGTTATCGTTTTACACCAGACTCTTGATCAAATCCAGAGGTTTAAAAAAAAAAATCACTGCAGTTTTATGAGTATGTTTGGCCATTAACTCCAACTCCAGACGGGCAACCATGGCTATGTGCAAGCTGATTTATGACACATTTAACATGCTGCTCTCGAGAGAAAGTGAAGGTGGCTTTACACTGCTGGAAAGTCAACTACAGACAATACTCCTGTCTTCAAATACAACTAGTTATCAAAGACCCCAGAGACATGCACAAACATCCACAGTCTCACATGTTTGCCATCAGGTCTCCAGATGCGGCAAATGTTGAACTTTTTATTTTAAAGGTCTGGGAATGCTGCTTAAAATATGACCCAACAAATTTCAGGCCTCTTGTGGCTTCCCAATTTCCATTTTTTCACCTTTTACCTTAAGTCTCTCTCTACTTTAAGTCATCCCTTAAAACATCTCTAATTTACGCTTAGGTCACCTGTTCTAATCTATCAAAGCTTATTGAACAATGAAGCACATTGCTTTTTTAATATTGAAAACTGTATAAATTCAGGACATTGTTTTTTTTTAAAAAAAGCAAAATTATTTATTAATATGTTCACACCCTGGATGAATAGCCTAATCATGTGACTGTAAAAACTGGAGATGTTAAAATCGCAAGCTTCTGAAAATCAACTGATCCGCTTCCTAGGATCCACCCCAAGGTAGCAATTCTTCAACATGAAACAGCTACAGCTCCCCGAGGTGTAAGAAAATGAGGTTCAACGAAGGATACTTCCCTTTACAAAGGGGAACACACACACGGTGGGAGTCTCTCAGTCGTAGAGTTTATCTAAATATAACCAACAATAATTGCACCTTGGCACCCAGAGCACTTTCCCACAACACCTAAAAATATAGTCACTGATTCCAAAATAAACGACAGAGAACAAAACGACTTTTGTAGTATAATTGATGCACGTCTGCCAAACAGAAGAAAACCTAAGGTTAATGGAAACCAGGGTAGGGAGGTGGAAGATTGGGAATGAAGACACGGCTCAACTAGAATGTAAGATAGAGGATTCGGAGAGGGCTTGACAGGCCTTATACTGAGAAGCAGTTTCCTCTCGTAGGGGAATCTAGAACTAGGGAGGCTGAGAGCTTGCGAGGGGGCAGGGGGGATGCAACGTTGCAGCATAAACATTTCTCTTTTCACCTCCT